TTATCTGGATATCAACTGAAAAAATATTGTTTTTTGTTTTTGCAGGGTGCATGCAGGGCCGAGGTGGTGCCGAGGTGGTGTGGTGGAAGAAAATTGACCACCCCTTTCTCAGAGCCTCTGAAGTTAGTTAAAAAAGATGCTCTTATAGATCCTAGACTGAATAGGCTGAGGAATACTTTTATTCCTCGGCAAAACGTCACAGATGCCAAAATCACCTTGTGCTCCAAAGACAAAAATGTCATGAACCTCCCGTAGAGATGAAAAAATCAAAGGGTAAGGGTAAGGGTTCCTCCTCACGTAATCCAGAGCCCGATCCTCTTGTAGAAGCCAACCAAGCCTTCATCCAATCTCAGAACAATTTTGCAGCAGCCATTAGGTCTTTTATACCAGGACCTAACCTTCCCCTCATGGTATGGAACTCGTGTGATGTTGACAATTAGTTATGTGAGGAATGGAAGACTGCTACTGTATTATTAATTAATTTGTATTATTAATTAGTTATGTGAGGATGGTTTTATTATTACTTGTACTCTGTTTTTGTTTGTTTATGTCGAGCTTCAGCAAGCACCTGAACTCAGAATCGAACGCTTGGTCAAGAAAACTCTGATTCTTCTTGGCTCTCTTCAAGGCCTGTACGGTCTGTATGGCTTCGACACTGAGGTGTCTCCCTTTCTGCAATGGTCTCGGGTTATTGCTTCTGTCTCTCATCGTCACTATCAGCTTCCATCTTTTGGGTCTCGAGAGTTGCAGAGATGAGGGCTGAGGCTCTGCGTTGAAGATTAAGTTTCTGGGCAGAGAGCTGAGGAGAGTGAGAGTTTGAGTTGCGGAAGAGGGTCTCATTTTCTGTTGCTCTCTTGCTGGCCAAAGCAGTCTGTACTGGGAAGAAGATGATGCACAGAGAGAAGTATGTGATATGTCGTTGCGGTTTGGCTGTCCATTTTTGGCAACAACAATTGAACGACATGTCGTTGGTGGAGTTAAAGCTGCAACTCAACTTTTCTCCAACTTGAGGGTAAAGCCCAGTAAATGAGGGCTTAAAATCAGAGAAGCTGGGTTTACTGTTTTACTGCTGCCACTGTATATAACCAGTTTACAGTTTTCACTTTTTCACCAGCTGGTTAATTCATTTCTCCCATCATTCTAATTCCTGGACTTGTATTAACATCTGCAATCAAATAAATTTATGTGCTAATTTTGAGATTGGTGGTGTATCAGTATCAGCTTCCTAATTGTTGGGTATGGCCTTCCATCAAGTACATTGCTCAATGGCTTCACAGCTTTTGGTTTTGCACCATTTTTTAATATTCAAGTTGTGTAATTATTGACAAAAGATTGTTGAGTTTATAAAATAATTGTATTTGGTGGTAACTGTTTTCTCAATTATCATTGATAGTCACTGATCCCTTATTTAATTAAAAATTAATGTGTTATGCATGGCTTATTCAAAGATAATGAAGCTAGTGAGGAAAACCAAAATAAGAGAAGAAGCTAGGGTTCTTAATTGAAAGAAGCTTGGTAGGTACCGAGGAGTAAAAGGCCTTCTCCACTGTGGATCCTGATGGGCTTGGTTGCACATAAATTTGGAGTCCCACCTAACCCAATCAATCTACTAGATCATTATCATGATGCAAATTTATTTATTTATTTTTTTCAAAAGAGAGAAAACAGGTGACGTGGGCGGACAGACAAATGACATAGTTCCTAGAGTTACCTTACCTTGACTCCCCAAGTTCAGAAGGATGGAGCCCACGGCCTAGTAGTGGTTGGCAAGCCTTTTACTCCGCTGGACCCCATTTCATCAGTGCAATAAGTAGATAAATATAAGAAGATAAAATCCAACGAAACTGCCCGTTTTATCTTCTAGAAAAAGGAAAGGAAAATCCTCGGTCCCCAAGGCAATAAATCTTGGAGCAAAAAAACCGAAAATTTATTTAACTTTGGGTCCCGTCTCGGCCAGCCCTTACAGCTATGTGTAGCATCAGCTACCATCGCTGATTACCCCTATGGTCCAACGAAATTCAGCCCTGTGTTGTCTGTTGGAAATTTAATATTATAATATATTTTATTTTTAATGTGTGAATGAAAATAATTGTTTTGTTTAAGTATGAAAGGTTGCAACCAATATAATTCAACAAATGACATGTTTATTAATCTATAATCGTATTAGAAGGAATTGAATTGAAGAAGAGTTGAATTAACGAGAATTAAATTCTAGATTCCTATTGAAGTTGTTTACTAAACCATATGAAATTAGAGTTAGAGTGCTACTAATTACTAAAATATCCTCGTTGTTGTGTTAAAGAAAATAACAAATTTTAAAATTTTAAAATCATATGAGGATATAATAGATAAAAAAGATGAATTTCTAAAGGATTAGATTTGTATTAAGAAGTGCTTTTAGAAGAAGAATATAGCAACAAGCTCGTGCCTTTGGAAATCTGTGTATATGGGATGGGTGGTCAGTTCATGTCAACATGCATGAAAACACAACTACAAGTTGTAAATAAGAATCAAAACTCATGTCTTACTTGCTGAAAAGAAGCTGAAAATGCAAGGAACATTAACTATATTATGGGCACAATTGGTGAAATTTGAGTGACATGACATAGCTCACTCTGCTTGCTCTCATTAACTATATTATGGGCACATGGTCTTTTACTTTTTATTTTGTCTTGGGGTGATAACTTATAAGGTTGGATTGGCTCTAGGTTTGTTTTTTCCTTCTCCCTAAGGGCTGAACTACCTAGCTATCAATCTTGAATGGTAGTGATATTCTTTGTTTCTCTCTTTATTTTCGGATTCCTGTCTAATGATTCAGGAATTGTCACTAAAAAAAAGGCGATAGTTACACTTTTATACAAGGGCGGAAGTAAAAATTTGTTTGGGGGTGACTAGAAATTCTTTTTATATTAGAGTATGCAGTAGATTTAACGGGTAGGATGGGCTAAATTTTTTGTTTCAACAATATTAGGCAAAGGGCTCATAAGATGTAGGTTTTGGTGTGCCTGCAAAATAGAAGAAAAAGCAGTGAATGAGGTATTTCTAAATTTTTGGATAGTTATAATAAATAGTAACACTCTGTTGTTCATGTTACTTCATTATTTTGTACACTGCTAATTGCATATATACTTTTCCACGGTTTAGGAGTAATTGATCGGGATAGTAAGCTTTTTCTGGTTTCTTTATATGGGGCCTGAATGTATTTGCTACATATTTCACACCATGCACTGTAAGCCTAATAGCATTTTGGTTAAACTCAGTTTGCAGTTTAATCTGCTCGGTTCATTTAATGCTTTACTTGTTTATTTATTTATTTAAATGGTTTTGTTCCTTTTTTTTTTTTAATTTATAAAAGTATCATGTTGTATTTTTCAGTTATATTAAATATATATATATGATGCCATTGTCTGTTATTGTATTTTTAAGTTTGATTTTCATGTTTTATTATTTTGAAGGACAATAGCTTTTTTATATGGCATAGTAAACACACAACCCACATATTAATTTTGAAATCACTGGACCTCCCATTTTCGTCATCATCAAACTGGGGGTGGGTGTAGTCCGATTTGGTCCGGTTTTTACTTCAAATTAGAATCGAAATTGGTACTATTTAACTTGTTTGATTCGGTCCAATTTTAATTAGGGATATGATTTCCCCACTCCTTTTTTCTCCACTTATACTCCATTTTGCTTTTTTATACTTTTTAATCAATTTTGTTCATTCTCTTTCCTATTCTACCCTTACCCTCCATTAATTTCTTTTTACTTCACTTTTATATTACTTCTTTTTCTTTATACTTAATTTTCAAGCTTTCACTCCATTTTTAGTATTTTTTTTCTTTAATCGAGTAAGAAATTAAGTTCTTTTTTTTTTTTTCCTTTAATACTGAAAATGGAGTAAGTTAGAAAATTAAGTATAAAGAAAAAAAATAATATAAAAGTGAAGTGAAAGAGAAATTAATATAGAGTAAGGGTAGAATATGAAAGAGAATGAACAAAATTGATTAAAAAGTACTAAAAAGCAAAAGGGAGTGTAAGTGGAGAAAAAGGGAGTGGAGAAATCAGCTGCTCCAGTTTGAACCAATTTCGGGTTGATTTTCGATTTTGAATCTGATGATTATTATTATTATTATTATAAATAAAATTTATACAAATTCCAACTAAAATTTTATTTTTCAGGCTTGAAAATTAACAAATTATCAAATTTCATACAAAGAGATACATTGGGCCTAGAAAAGAGAAATGTTTAGAAGTTGGGCTTAGGGAAATATTAGTTATGAGATTAAAATGTAGCATTGGATTTAAATAATTGTGTTAAAAAAATAAAATAATACACAATCGGTCAGGTTCGCCCTGGTCCCATTTTTCCACTACAAGAATTGGAACCGAAATCTGACCAAATTGGTTCGGTTCAGTTTTTGGTTAACTCGGTCCAAATTTTAGGCAACTCAGTTTTTTCCGATATTTTCGGCCCAATTTGGCTCGATTTTTTAGTTTGAATGCCCACCCCTAATCAAAACTGGCTAAAAGAGCCAATCCTCAGAAAGTATTTGAGATGCCGCTACTAAAGAAACATCGGATCATACCACCTGAAACTAGTACGGGAGTGGATAGTTCATTCTTTCTTTTGGTGTTCCCCCAAAATCTCATAAAAGAAATATACATATGATCCAAAGCCAATCGATATGGAACTCGGGTTTTAAATTTGAAGAGAGCATCATAGATAGGGATCATCTATGGTTTCTTTCCACCAATCAGCTAACCTAACTAACAAAACATTCATTGGTCGGTGCAAAACTCGAATATGCTATAAATTCCTGTCCTGTCAACATATAGAGCAATCGGGCTAGAATTGGTGAGCCTTTACACGTGGAAAATTGAAGCTTAGCTGGATCAACCTATTTTAGTCAGTCATGAATTTTGTTTCAACGTGAAATACGCGGTCTCTCTGTTCTTGCAATGTGAAAGATGTGCCTTGAATATTCACACTAAAAGGCCAGTTGGAAATAATGTTGTTTGGAGCTATATATATATATCACATTCGTCTTACAAGAAGTGCCTTTCCAAGCTTAAGTGTGAAAAAACAAAGGAAGCGCTCAAAAGCCGAGGCTGGAAAGAAGAAACACAACACTGAAAGAAAGTATAGAGAGCAACATTGTAAGTTAGATAGCAGACCAACACTTTCTGCTACTCTCACTTTCACATGTATGATATATAACAAGTGAAAAAATAAATAGTAACTCCCTTTTTTAATCAGTAAGCTTTTCCAAATGAACAATATTGCAAATTAAAACTACATCGATAAGGAAATTGATGGGATACATGTTGAGAAGCAAATCTATATTCTGCGGACCGTAAATTTAAAAGAAAACACACACACAGACACTAGGTAATATAGATTTACAGAAGAATTGAATTCCAAGTATCCCATGGTCATTGCCGCATTTCATATTCTGCAATTGGCAGCTGGACAATAAAAGAATGGCATAATGATATTAGATATATGTCAATTATTGATGAATAATATAGAAAATTAGTATATTTTGCTTAAGTGATTTTTCAGATAATCTGACATGGAGAAAATTATAACACCTTGAGGCAATCCTTCTGTCAAAATGGATTGAATTTGATCCAGCAATTAATGAGACTACTACGTTTTTTGCTAACGAGATTATAGGCGCAAATACAATTGAACTGGATTTTAAAGAGAGATATGGAATTGCAAAGTCCTTCCCTTCTAGTCATTCTTAAAAAAGTGAACTCCTGGTATGGGCTAACAAGAAACTAATTGTTAATTAATCAAGATGTCCACAAGAAACAGGGAAAAAGTTTGACAGCAAGGATGCAGAAGGTGGGAATTCTACTTTGTTTTTTCCCCTAATCAACCAACCTAATATTTTTATAATTAAATAACAATTTACATTGATGGGGATGTGCAAAACTGCAATAAACAATAAATTCATGTCATACTGAATCAGGCACTTACTGCAAAAGACAAACTGGTTGAGATCCAAAGTCACTCTGCCTTGCTTAGCTGTGTCAAATGAATTAAACAGATTACTGCAAGGAAAGAATGACAAACAACACCATTAGTCTTCGGAATAGCACATTCTAGAATTTCAATATTGGCATTTGTCTAACTTGATTTGATGCAAAACATCGAATTTTGAAATTTCCACCTGAAGTCATAGCATCACAAAATGGAACCTGACACATATGTGCGTGTTTGTACATGTATGAATAATTTGTCTAATCTAACCTAGGAAAATATGATAGTCCTCATTAAATCTGAGTTAAAACCTCAAAATCAATGCATGAGCACCATTCTTCAAAACATATGCTTTTTGTGAATTGAAATGCAACCTACCGAGCAGACTGCAAAAATATACAAAGAGATATGAAGTCATCTAGTCGGAACATTCCTTTCTTCTTTTGATCAAAGCTCTGCACAATTAAGAGGAAAAAGAATTAGCTATATCAGCCTTATCAAACCATCTGCCATGCAGCCTTTTGATTTCTTTTCCCAGGGGGGTGGTGAGTAAATCAAACATTCATCACAGCAGACCAGCGCACAACCAAAAGGACAGTATTAGAGTCATTTTATGTAGAAAGCATATGGTATACCTCACAGACTGTGTAGAAAGCGGGAGAGTCCAGCGAGAAACCAATTTTTACCAATGCCTGTCGCAATGGTTCAGCAATTGAGAATTCAGAAAAGAAATGAAAAATAAGAGAAAGGCCAGGGAGGAAAAACTAACAGACTTCCCATTACGATACCGTCAAAAGATATCTAAAGACACGAACTTCAATTTTTCATCCAAGAGTTAGATATTACCTCATGCACATCATCAGGAACAATATAGCCACGACCCCTGTAAAACAAACCAACAAAATTAGACAGTTGCTAAATGCTTACAACTGTATGTGAAGCAATTATCCTCATCACCATTTGCAACTAAAAGGAGAATATAGATTATATGCACAAATTAATACGTAAGTTGTAGGCATAGTGAAATGTATATTATGTATGGTTGGCAGAATATCAGAGGAGCATAAAAGTTAAAGTCAAGCACTGCATTGCTCAAACAACATAACTTTATAAAGTGCTTGAATTACGTAAGATGCCCAAGTTCTGCAAAAGACTATCAAGTGAAAATTTAGTTTCCACGGACAAAAACTAACTGCCAATGTCTATTATACTTAGTAGAGTGCATGATCTACGAGGAAAAACATACACCGTCAACCAAGTCTTAAAGCAGCCAACTTTGCTTCATACTACCACGGTTGAATCTATCAGATACACCTTTAATTAGTTCGATATGAAGACACTGCACCTCACAAAATCACAAGACCCTGTTTACCAGAGTGGACAAGAAAAAACCTTAAATATATTTAATCACCTCTCTCGGTCTGAGAAGGCTTGTTGAACCTGAAAAGAAGACAGAAATCGAAACAAAATTACACATAAGTTGTAGGAATACTTGGCACAAATCGGCATCCTCAAATTGAGGTATTACATTTTCAGAAAATAAGGGCTTGAACCTTTAAAGAGATGAGTTGATAGTAACAGAGTAAAGACACAACACAACCACATATCACCAAAATTACAAGACAGACAGGAAGTGTTGAACCAAAAATTGAAATTTCAGGATCAACGTTTTCACCTTGAGAAGGAACTTGTTGAGCGCCACAAACTCTGAGATACAAAAGTGTACAAAATCAGTGAACCCATATGACAAAATCATAATATAAACAAAGAGGATACAAATTGCAGTGTTAAGCATAAAAATAGTAATGAAAGTTAAAAAGTTCTGCACTAATATGAGCATACCTTCAAAGCTCATCGTCCCATTCCGGTCAAAATCATACATCCTGCAAAAGGCAACATATTTATCAATTATCTGTGCAAGTGAAGTAAACATATACAAAAAGATGGTGTGAATTTATACGTATCTGTACCTGATCATTTGCTGAACAACCGAGATAGGGAAGTCGAGGTTTCCAACAGCAAGAGCATTCTGATCATTGATACGTCGTCGTTAATCAGGTGAACGCAGAGGGAAAAAAAGAAATTTGGGAAGTTTACGGTAAATAAGATGAAGAAGAAGAACCTTGAGCTGCGGTGCAGTGATGCTTCCCGTATTGGCCGAGTCAACTCGGGCGAACCACTCTCTCAGAACCGTCGAGTTCTCCATTTTCTATCTGAGACCGAGAGTGATGTTGTAGAAAGAAAGCTGGATGCTTTTCTCTTCCAATTCTTTAAATCGTCTGGCGACGGTGTCGTTTCGTTCACTTCACCCGCCTTATTTACATGCCAGAATTGTTTGTTAACTCCGTTTTAGAGCTTCAAATTTCAGTGGTAAAAAAAGGCACTTAATTATGCTCACATCATATCCACGGTAGAAATTTGACTCTTGTTCTCAGCTCTTTCTCATTCATAATTCTTAGATAATTTTTTTCCTCTCGCAAATTAAAGTTTATAATCCGAATTAAACCGATTTTTAAATTGGTTTTATTTTATTGTCAAAATTAAGAACGCACGTCATTAAGGAATTATGGAGGTTCGAACTTGAGATTACTTATCTACAGGTTAATGTCATTTTTCACTAAGCTAAACCCTATTGACTAGTCTTTAATTCGATTCAATTGTACTACTAATATGAGATTTAAATCGAACAAATCTGAATTGGAATGCTACATTAATTTGAGGTGAGATTTAAATATAACCAAAACCACACTCACCCTAAATACAATATGAAATCTCTTGTGAAAAAGTAGTTGTACATTTTCTCATGCGCATTTAGACAATCGGCCGTCATGATTATAAATAAATGGCTACAACAAGTTTGATAAGTAGTTGATATTCAAGACACAGATTTCACATTGCATGAACAACGTGGCCACATGTTTCACGTTGCAAGAACACAGCGAGGCCACATGGTTCCCATTGCACCTGCTACCAGGAGAAACCATGGCTCCATCCATTCATTAATGTTAAAAAAAATCATAATCTTTGTAAATCGGATACAAAGTTGAACTATACCAAGTTAGAATTCAAATTCATTTTAAAAAATGATAGGAAAGAAATGCAGAGTCTAAGCAACCAATATATATAAGAGAGAACATCACTTACATATAAGAGAGGAAAAGTATTATTTGAATAAATAATATGATATGTACTATGTAGTTTGAAAATATAAGTTTTATTCCAGTTTTCAGCACGAATGATCACTTCATTAAATTTATTTCACTTAAAAATTTACAATTTTTTTCATTTAGTTCCGTTGATCAAAATAGTGTGTTCGCTCCTACTCTCGATGGACTATCCTCTTCCTGCATTAGAATAGTTTAGAATATAATTTTGGTAAAAAAAAGAAAGAAAAAAAAAATGCTCTCCACTCACTCCGTTAGAAGAGTTGTCACGTGCCGCGTCCGTGTCAAGTTTCAGATGGTTCTGCAATGCGAAAATCGAGAGGTTTATAATGTCTACTTGATTTTCACAATAATGATACGTCTCTCTCTGTGGCCAAGTCGACGAAGCTCTGTAAGTGGTCTCGGAGCCTTATCTTCCTCATTTACCTCCATCATATTGATTGGATTATCGGATTAATTGACATCGGCAATCAGTTCATATGCTTTTAGTTTCTGAATAATCTGCTTGGTTGCTGGTAAAGTGTGGGAAAATGATTTCAATTTACTTCCTTTAATGTATTTGACTTCCATTATCTGAGCAACTGGACCTAAATCAGCTCACTTTTGTTAGTCGAGCTGAGTTTTTACCTTTTTGTTAATAACCTAATATAATTAGATTGAATATCTTCTGTTCTTTTTTGTCTTTTCATGATTTCAAATTTGTTACAGTTCTTCTGGATTTCCCCCCTCTCTTTCTTATGTGATTGATCTAATTGATTTCCAATGTACAAAAAAGTTGATTTTGTTTTTGTCCACTATTGACTTCTGAAATTGTTAAATTGGAAGAATTACTGAAATAGCCAATTCTATTTTGTGGAAATGATTCTTATATGCAGTGTTTATGGGTATTATTAGAAATCCCAAAGACTGATAATGCACTTTTGGGGGACCATTCCTAGCATTTTTCTTCTCTGCTGGTTTGAGCTGCCAGTTTTTGACTGAGTATGGTTTGTATGATAAAATGTACAAGAATATATGCATTGTAATGGTTTGGTGTAATGGTAACACACGCACAGCTTAGGCATGCAGTGGAGTGGTGATCTCTGAACAAATTATGGCATTAGTTTCTGGTTTTCCTTGCACCCATTTTCCCATTTTGTTTCCTTGCCAACCCTTTTTTTGTACTTTGCATGATATATTAGGTTGTGTGTTTTGGTATCTATGTAATTTGTAACTATCAATTTATGCTTATTATTCATCGTCTGGGTGAACAGGTCCATAGTCTGTGGTCTGTGGTGATTCAGCACCTTATGCATATGTTTGTGAATTGATGATTCCATTATGCTGGCAATATTTGAGAATATAGGCTGGTTAAAAGGAAACACAGCTGATGAAGATAACACCATTTATCGATCTCATTACCCAGTTGGCCTACACACCTCCTACGTGGGCAAGTCTAGTTTCCGGTGTTTTTGTACTCATCACTCTTACTCTTTCAATATATCTTGTGTTTGAGCACCTTTCTGCATACAAACTTCCTGAGGTATTCATTCGTCAGTGATACAAATTATATTTAAAATGTGCATGCTTCAATATTGATGTATTGCTAATGGACATGCATTTTACCATTTTGGTTTGTGTTAACCTTTCAGGAGCAAAAGTTTTTAATTGGTGTTGTCCTCATGGTTCCGTGCTATGCAGTAGAATCAGTAAGTTTTTTTGGTTTAAATTTATTTTTGTTTCGATATAAATGTTTATTCTTTTATTTTAATAAAGAACCATGTGGAATCACATAATTCTTTGTTTATTTTAAAGTCAGGCCTCTATTTGGGGTTATAGGATTCACCAAAACATATATGTTAGTTATAGGATTCAAGTTAATGAAAAAGAGGAATTATGGGGTACATATGACGTTTGTGCTTTTAGTTACTGTCAAGGAGAATGTTTGCGGATGTGCACGGTGAACCTTCAATTCGGATTTAACATACGAAAGATGTTGAGTTTATCAATTTTGATATATATTTCTTTGGTTCTCAAACATCTGTGTTTCTTTTTGACACATCTGGAAGATGATGAGTTGAATATACATGTATTGTTCATTAAGTTGCTTCTACCGATCATTTGTGAAGATTACGTTCATATATTAGCTTTAAAAGTATCATTGTTGCTTATTATTGATTGTACTTGTATGTCTGTGTTACGGAAAAAGTATTCTGCCTCAGATTGTTGGCATTTTCGTTGTTTGTAAGATTCTAACTTGGTTGTTGTTTACAGTTAATATCGTTGGTGAACCCATCGATAAGCGTTGATTGCGAGATTCTACGGGATTGCTATGAATCCTTTGCCATGTATTGCTTTGGAAGATACTTGGTTGCATGCTTGGGTATGTCATTTTCAAGAGCTTTTACAACACCATTGTTTATGTAGAGTTTCATAAAGTTTAGAAGCTTTAGCTAACACATCATCAAAACTTAAATTGTAGAAGCTTTATGCTAGTAAATGTTAATCAGAATTCAGATGTTAACAATCTTTAATTGAATGTGGACAAGATTTCACTGTTCATGCACCAGTATGATGCAAGATTGGCCTGCTGGATGCAATGTGATAGATGTTCGTTCGCTGTTCATACACATTCAATTCTCTCTCTCTCTCTAGATAGATGCACAAATAAATACCTATTATGGATGGAGCCATTATATGATGACTATATCAATTTATCACAGATGCCACTTTTAATCCTAGTCTTTATATGGGAATTTCAAGTAATCAATGTTTGATGGTGCACATAAATGTCCAAGATGTTTTTTTCTTTTCAATTTGTAGTCCTTTCTGTTTTAATAGACAAAGATACTTCTTTGCTTCCCTTGTTTATGTTTTTGCGCTTTTGACATTTTCCTTTTGTATATATATTTTTCTCCTTCTAAGGTGGGGAAGAGAGGACTATCGAGTTTATGGAAAGGGAAGGACGTGCAAGTTCTAAGACTCCCCTATTAGAATATAGTTCTGAAAAGGGAACTGTTAAGCATCCTTTTCCAATGAATTATATCTTGAAACCATGGAAACTTGGTCAATGGTTTTACCAAATTGTCAAATTTGGAATTGTTCAGTATGTATGTTTACCATCACTTTGAATTTTTTATTTATTACTTTCTGCTGTTTCTTGTTCTCTAATTTCATTTCCCTTATATAACTTAAATTCACTTTTTATATTCTGCCAGATGTTAATTAAGTCTCTCAGTGCTATTTTAGCTGTTATCCTTGAAGCTTTTGGTGTATATTGTGAAGGAGAATTTAAATGGGGATGTGGGTAAGTGAATCTCAATTGTTTTTGGAAAAGCATTTGTAATTTGAAATGGTGCACGTAATTGGCAGTTATATGTGATAGGATAAGTTGGTTTGTTTGTATTTTTTTCTCCCAAGAAGCTCTTTTAACACATAGAGGGAATCTAATGGCCATAATTTGCTTTTGTTTGCAGGTATCCTTATCTTGCAGTGGTTCTAAATTTTAGTCAGTCATGGGCGTTGTACTGTCTTGTTCAATTTTACGCTGTTACAAAAGATGAACTAGCTCACATAAAACCATTAGCCAAGTTTTTGACATTTAAATCAATTGTTTTTTTGACATGGTGGCAAGGCGTGGCAATTGCTCTTCTTTATGCCCTGGGTTTGTTCAAAAGCCCTATAGCTCAAGGCTTACAGTTTAAGTCAAGTGTTCAGGACTTCATCATTTGTATAGAGGTAGAATGTTAATGATGCAGAATGTTGGGTAAATCAATGAACATGTCAGAACAGCACATGTTATTGTGTCTTTTCAATCTTTATGCACTATTATAGTCTTCGCAATGATAATTTATTCTCCCTTAAACTCTTGAGTTAATGTGGTCTTCAAAGTTATTAAGAATGTGAGTTAAAATATTCATTATTGTGACCATTTTCATGCAACATGTTTTAGTTTAACAGTTCTGTGTTTTCATCCTGCACAGATGGGCATTGCTTCTGTTGTTCACCTATATGTGTTTCCTGCAAAGCGTTATGAGCTGATGGGAGATCGTTACACTGGAAGTGTCTCAGTTCTTGGAGACTATGTATCGGCTGACAGTCCTTTGGATCCCGAGGAGGTTAG